TTTTGTAGCAAATTTGTTAAAGTTCCTCGAATGAGAAACGAAATGAAAATTCTCTGAATGGAACTATTTCTTCGTAGCTTATTTATTCAACCCCTTTGAGAGTAGCATCTACAAACGGAGCTCTTATCAGAAGGAAATCAAAACCGAATGAGAAACAAGCGTATTACGATCCAATTTCTAAACTTTAATAAGATCTCTGTAAACTGAGACACGTGCGGAAATAGGAAAATCGACTCTATTTCTCAACTGTGGTTTCTATTCGTTGTACACTTCCTGAAGATGTTCCTAATGATCTGAATCAATAATGAACAGGAGTGAGTTAATTAATGCATGCACTGTGTATGAGATAGGCAAACATTTTTTGAGAAAAATTAAAATCTACCTCTAATTTGAACATACAGCGTACAATTAGTTTGAATAGTCTGTGAAATCGCAAGGAAATCAATAATTTTCAGATTTCATTTATTGGTGGAAGAAAATTGATTTGTTTATGCTTGATGGTATCAACCTATTCATTGCTTCCTCATGCTGAATATGCTAACAATTTTTGTTCATTTTTTTCAGATGTTTCAACGATAAAGTTGAATTTCAAACTGCAGCTCTCAAATCATTTTGAAATAGTGTTATTTTACTATCGACTTTATCAAAATTCAGAATTCTCATTCAGAAACTGAAGTGCCAAAAATAAAAATGATGGTATTTGCGCCAAATTCATCATGATATATTCAATGAATTCAAAATATACTGTGTGGGAGTCTTGAAACGAACTGAAATAATCCAATTGAACCTACTTTAATTAAGGCAATATGAAATATTACCGCTGTTTACCATGAACAAACAACCTTCATCAGAGGAATACTTACTTGAACTACTTTTTCATAAATCATCTTTTAAGCCGTTAATTTTTTGTACGAAGCTTTTTTTCGTAAAAATCAATATTTCCGAAACGTTCAAATTATAACTTGCTTGGTCAGCTAGAAAAACCATGACATTCTCTCTAACAGACCGAAACCCCAAAAACAACTCTCTTTCATGTTTTTTTCAAGAAGATAAATGTTTCCGTACCGTATATAATAATGTCGGAACAGATAATTCCGCTTCCTGCTTCGATAAGTTTGTTGGGGGTGAAAATGGGCACCAATATGTCTTGGCACAATTATGTCGCTGGAATTGGAATGGCTGCTTCTCAAAAGTTTGGAACACTGTTTCGAACCAGAAAACTGTACCTACACACTTCAGCAACTTCTTTGTATGTATGGAGCACCGCTCTAAGAGCGCCTCAAAGATTCTTCTGTAGTGCTCGTGTTTTGTCCTTGAAAAAACAAAGGAACTATTTCTGCTTGCCTCTGAATTGTACATTTCTCTTGAAGGCCCTTGTAGTTTATTCAACCATTCTTTGTTTTCATAATCCACTTTCCAACAGAAATGTCTCAGGCTTCATTACCTCATTCATTTGCCAGTTAAATTCACCCCGATTCCAGTGGTTGATCTCGGAAATAGCTCTATCCGGCTAGTTGCGGCATCATTGTTTTGACTTTCCAAGTGTAACCGCTTATTTGCCACCATCGTAGTTGGTTCAACCGAATGTTGACCTTCATAGACCGAATTTAATTGACCTGAAATATCAGAATATTCTCAGAGGATTTGCTAATGTTTTGATAAGAATCGTAGATTTGAAGATTTCATCGAAAATTCTGTTGGAAATAAGTTTGGAAACGAACCGTCTCGTGTTACGTCAAACACTTCATGATTCAGATTCGTCAATCAACGAGATTCTTGCAGTAAATATAATAAATGCATGTACTAGGATATGAATATTTCGAAATAGAATCTCGAAATTATTTATGCAAGATTTATGCTTCAAATATTGTGTCGCAAGTTAACGAAGCTTCAGAAACCGAAAGAATTCTCGAAAATGTAAATACTTTTAACATTCACCTATCCGTGCAAGAGAAACAAAAATAAGAAATCATCTCTATAGAAACTTTTTATACTGAGGAAAGTGGTAATGAATATGTTTTCCTGGTAGAATCCGTTCCGAATCAGAAGGAATATTCGGATTCATCCGTTTAATCTACAATAATTGACTCTGCAATTATCAATTATACGATAAACACAAACTGACCTATCATCAAATCAACAAATAAACACTCTTTCTTCACAAACGATGTCGTTTCTCATATTACATGATTATCTCGGAAGTTAAAACGAATTGACGATAAATATGTTGTTTATTGACCTTCTGTGTTTATACCCAAGGTGACATGGTCAAATAGAGTCAATGTCAATGCTGACTCATACTGAATCAACATCCGGTGATGAGCAGTTCTCTAAACAACGACACGAAGGATTTTTATTTACCTTGTTCCATTTCAGAATATGTAACCATTAATCAGTTATAAATACGTCCTGCGTGGCGAAATTGGTTATTTATATTCACATTTAGTTTCTGTCAAGTTATAATCTTGTAATCCAAGGGAAATTCAGTATTGTTTTCAAAAAGTTATATTTCAAAAACTTATACTTCAAACTCAACTGCTTCGAATTGCCGAAAGAAACTTATTAGTATCCATCTCATGGATTGAAATAAAGCAAGAAACTCCATCTGTGAATCAGAAAAAATGATAAATGAAACTTCTTTTGTTTTTATATCTCTTGTTCCTGTAACTGTCGTTGTTACAGTTTATTGTATTCGTTTGAAAATGTCTTTATGGGACTAAACTGCAGTAGTGATAGTGTTATAAAAACGTAGGAGGTTTTATATCTGTTATTTCATGATGATCTCCTACCATGTACATCCATCAATTCATCACCAATGTACTCAATGGTAAGGTAAATTTGCCCAGAAAATTAATGTACATTTTTCTATCTGCTGACAAAAGATATCACATACATCACATCCATCAATAAATTTCTGAGTATAACTGCTCTATCGAATAATGATCAGGAAACCCAGTTCCATTTATGATATGATCAGAAGAGTGTTGAATATCCGAATACTTTTTGATTGAAAAATTTGAGTAAACAAGTGATTACTTCGAAAAATCTTTTCTGATGTTCATGATAGTACACCTGTTACTTGTTTCTTTATATGCCCAAGCAAAGGTTCCCAATGTACAACTTTACAAAAACAAAAAGTTCAATATCTTAATGAAATCTGGGATGAATGTCTCAATGTTGAGAAATCCTATTCATCATTTTTTTCTCAACAGTGAATATATCAGTACTAGACATATAAATGCCAAGTCACGCGATTCCGCTAGCTGGGTCAACTAATTTGTTGAAAACATTATGTCTTGGTACAAACATATTGCCCCGAAATAGAATAGTCGACTTCTCAGGAACTTGAAACAATTTTTCGATCTACAGAGTTGTACATACGAGGGTGATATGAAAAGTTTCCGACCTCAACATGAAGATGGCAGCACTAGTAAATAAAACCTAGTGAATTTTGTTGTTCATCTTTTGACAGTTATTCACCAACGTTTCATCCTTTCTGGATTCGCAGGTGTTATGAAAATTGACAAAATCGAGTATCGAGCTGCCATTATTATAATATTTGTTTCTGAAAGGCAATACATATACGCAAATCAAAGATGAGGTGGATTATTTGTATAGAGAATCCGCACCATTATTTAGTACAGTGACATTTTGGGCAGCTGAATTTGAACCTGGCCCTAAAAGCTTGGGAGACGATGAACGTTTGGGACGTCCAATAACCGCAGCTACCAACAAAAACATCGCCAAAATTCACCAAATGGTACTAGATGACTGCCGAATTGAAGTGAAAGAGATAGCAGAGGTTATGAACGTGAAAGAAGAAAGTATTTGTTACGCATTGAATCAACATTTAAGCATGAGTAAGCTGTCCGCGCGTTGAGTAATGATTTTGCTCACGTTAGACTGAAACCGTCTTCGAATGCTCTGTTGACGCAGTTTGGGCGCAATAAATCCGAGTTTTGGTGCCGAATCATTGCTATAGATGAAACTTGGATACACCATTATACGCCCGAAATAAAAATAAAGTCCAAAACGTGGACTGCAGAGGGGGGAACGACTCCTAGAAAGTGATGGCGACCGGTTTATGGAGTTATTTCAATTGATTATCTTCAAAAAGGAAAAGCTATGCAGGTGCACAATACGCATCATTACTCGATAAGCTGACAACAAGTCCTGTTTCAACAAGACAACGTAACGTCTCACACCTCAGCGAATGCCATGGCAAAAATCTACGAACTACGATTTGAATTGCTTGGCCATCCGCCTCATTCACCTGATCTATCCCCAAGTGATTTTTTTTGAGCTCTCATTATAAAATTGCGCCCGGAGGACAGAGATTATTGTGAAATGAAGAGGCAATCACCTTCGTGAACAATTATTTGTACCGGTTACAGAGATGAAAACATCGCGGGGACAAGTATGTATTGTTGAAAGGAGAGTATGTTGAAAAATTCGAAAAATAATCTGAAAACTTTGTTGGATCGTATTCAGTAATGATTTTTGCTCATATGTCAGGATAAGAACGGCGAAAACTAACGTTGCCAATCAATTCTTCATTCAACTTGATGAAAGTTGAACCACACTTTTCAAAAACGTACGTTCTTTGCACATCTATATGAAGTTCGGCATCATACATTTTCTCAGACTAACGATGGAGAAAATACTCAAAAAGTATTCGAAAAACTCGAACTAATAAATATCTAATGTGAATACTTTTTGAAGAAGTTGCTATTTATATCAGATTGAATTATATCCCGACAAAGCCAACTTAATTGTTAAAATAATAATCGAAAAGAAGTATGGAGTTGGCCGATACTTATATAGTGAAACACGTGTTGCGGTTTTGTAAATTGTTCAGTGAACATCTCACAATGGAGTGTGACTTAAATTCGAAAAAAGTGTACCAATTTGATTTCTGGAGAAGCGTTTTCATTACATTCATTGTAAGGCAAAAGTTCAAACTGAACCCTTCAGTATGCAAAATATATTCAACTACTCACCTATTCTTTCGTACGCTTCCCTCCCTGCGCTGACGGACATAATAATTCCAAAAAGATATAACCACCACATTTCAAACTGCTCAATGGACACATTCTCCTCCACAACAAACTTTATCAAAGACAAAAGAAGCACTGTTATCTGATCGAGAGTCTACCGCTTCAATTATCCTCATCTTGAACCCAAAATCACATTCAACAGTTATCGATAAATGGTCCACTACAACACTAGGTTTCTATCTTTCCATTCAAGTGATCATTTGAAAAAAAATCAGTCACTTCAACATCTGTTGCATCAACTTCTCCCAAGTTTGTATCGGATTCTGACTTCTGGTAAACACCGTATGCTGGCGATTGTAGCGTCACGGTTAACTTCAGGCGTCCCGACGTCAAAAGCCTACAAGCGCCGCCAATACACTGAAGTGGGTTTCGTGCAGAGTGAGATTTTGAAAGCTGATTCTGGGCGCATGTGTGAGTAATGCCAACATCTCAGTTGAATCGTCATACTGGACATTTCTTTATTGTGGTTTTATTTTTCTCGCAGAGTATATAACAAATACTTTGAACTGAATCAATCGCGAAAGACGAGAAAAAATTACGAGGTAATGGAGACATGGAGCTGTTTGTGTCTGTAGACGAAAAAGAGTGTGTTTTCAGATTCTTCTTCCATATCCGTGAAGAGTTTCAATATTTCAATATTGTTTGCCAATGTTTGTTCTGCAGTTATAGAGATTTTTCCTTCCTATTCTATCAACTATTATGATTCTTTTTGGATTTTGATGTTGAAATTCATTTAGTGAGTCGAAGAATACTTGATAAGTGATAGGATCACTTATATTTTTGATTGAAAAATATTTTTGTATCAACGTACTTATCAGCAGAAGGACTTTGGATCTCTTTGTAAGTTTTCAGTTGATTTTTGCTGCATGTGTGAGAGATGGCAATATCTCGTTGAGTCGTGATATTGACCATTGCTCGATTGTTTTTCTAGTTTCTTTGCAAAATGTATGTTATATTTTATGTATTGACCTTCTTTATTCATACTCATAGTGACATGGAAAAACAAGTTCAATGTCAATGCTGACCTTTGCTGAATCAACATGTGGTAATACGCAGTTCTTCAGGAATGATACAAAGGACCTTCATTTTGTTTGTTCTATTTTCAGACTATGTAGTCATCTATTTTTCAATAAATACGTTCTCCATTGCGAGATTAATCAGTGTGATATAACATATATGAGATAATGGTTATATGTAGCTGTTCATATCTTTAGATGTAGAGAAAAATGTTTCATGGCGGTATAATGTTTTATATTTCCATTTCGATCATTTGATTGTGATGCGTTTTGAAGAGTGAGTGACAAATGAGTGTGAATGGAATTAGCCAACAGTCACCAGCAAAAGATATTTAAACCACTTCAAATAGTTTTGACTGATTACCTAGTCATTTTTCAACTCACTTTCATGTCTTTTCCGAAAACATTATCGATTTACTACACCCAAAAATGATTTGAAAATGCATGTAGACTGTTTCACATAGTACCTACCCTTGATTTTCAATTGAACTGTGGATAACTATCTTGATAAATATCGATTATTTTCAAATTTTTTAAGTAGACATATTTTCATTCGCTATCTCATCTTTTGTGGAATGCAAACAACTTCAAAAGGAAGATTAAAGTGAGTTGAATCTTCCTCTTGAAGATGATTACTTGGTGATCGAAACATGTGTCGAGGTGTTAAAATAACGGTTTGGTCTTGGGAAAAAACTCCAGTAATATTCAATACTACACTGAAGTTTCCAAACAGTGCATCAAATATATTCAGGTGTCTGGAGCGGGTTTGCCTTCATTTCATTATTCGATCAACATAATAAATATAATGACCACAAGAATATACATCACATTGTGGTGATCAGTTTTGATATCAGGATTTTATTCTCTTGATGCGAAGTAATCGCATCAATGGAAAACTTTATTTCTATTAATTGTGATGGTTATTGCTTTGAAGTCATTGATAATTACATCACGGTGTCATTATTTCAATTCTTATATGGATAATTTTTTATCACCTTCTGCATGATCCATCAGTTGATAAAAAAAAACATAGAAATTCAAAAGTATTGAACTGAAAGTATGTGAATTTGTCCTTGAAAGTTATGTTATGGAGATGATTTGGCATAATTTTCAGCTGTTGGAAATACATAGCAATGTGAAGCAGATATAATAATATGTCCGCTCTACATTGTTATCAAACATATTTTGATATTCTTCCAAAACTTGATTTAGTATCTCAGTTTTTAATAAAATGGTATGGAATTCTTATTGCTCAAATCAATTTACATTACATTAGAAAATGGAAGTCGGAACTGTTGAAATTCACAAAACATATATTACGTTCGATAGATGTTATTTTAAAATGAAGTTGATAAAATTGACTGACGAATGTTTATTAATTGGAAATATCGAATTGCATGAAGCACTTCGGACATTCATGTGTCACAATATTCAAAATGTTTCAGTTTGAATACCTATGAATTCATATCATTTCTAATGGATGGAACTTGTAGTTATCGAATGGAGAAATTATCCCAGGCATGCGGTATTGCAAATGGAAGTACTTACGAAGTCTGGTGAAATGAATTATTCATATACTCTCAATCAGTATTCGTCAATTGATTTAGTAACGGTGATATTCGAGTGGGTAATCCAATTTTCCCGGTCGCATCTGAAACTGATGATATTAGTTTCCACTACCCAGTTTGGTATTTCACAAATTAATCATGTGAAACAAACGTATCGCAAATTTTGCAAATATTGTTTGGGAGCTGGTATTTTTCTGGAATCTCATAGTAACTGTTAGAAAATCTATCAAAACCTGTTTTTGCGTTAACCATCTATCGCTTTCCTTCAAACGACAACCCTCAGAAATCGAAACTTGTGCGAGATAATGATTAACAAGATCTTACTTTTCAACGTGTGATTTCTATCGTGTAATTTATATATTTGATATTCCTTTTCTGATAATGTAGTTATGGATTTCAAATCAATTTATATCATATTAGACAATGGAAGTCCGAACTGATGAAATACATCACAAAACATTGTCAACTACCTTCAATCAAACATTCCAGAATTATGCCTAGTGTTTCACGAAGAAGAATTGGCAACCCTAAGTTTGGTCATGTGGGGAAGATACAAAAGTAAAGCATTATTAGACGTACAACTTCTGCAGATAGAAACTGGAATAACTATCTAAAGTTGATGGTAAAATTGATCAACATCATGATCTGCTCCACTACATTATTTATCACCAACGTCGACATAAATGATTGGATAGCAAACTTGGATGCTATACCAATATGTCGTTCTACTTGTCCACTATATGTTCAAAAAATGGAGAGAATTTTCCAATTTATCGGGTTACATATATTTAATTAGCTGTTTAGCATGTTCAGTTTGTCGCTGAGAGGCAGAAAAGGCAATTTTCTGCTATCAAAATAACTGCATCAAAGAATTTCCATCAAATCCTGTATGAATAATGAAAATCAGTACTGAAAAACACCCTAAACGTTGGCAGTGGCATATGGTGATTGTATTCTGAAAAATGAAAAATGTTTACAAGTGGTTCAAGCAATTCACAGAAGATCCAGAAGATGTGAATGACGAAGCTCGCCCTGGACACCCCAGCACATCAACAATCAATGGAAATACTGAGAAAGTGGAGCAAATTGTAATGGAGAAGTTGCTGAGGATGTTGGCATATCGGTTGGCTCATGTCATTGAATTTTTTGTGATTTTTTGAGCATGAAGCATGTGTTTATTTCAAAATTGATGAATTTTGGCCAGAAAAACCGTTGCAAAAGCATCGTTCAGAAACTGTTGCGATCCAGTATCGCTTGAAAGGGTCAGCTGACGAATCATGGATATATGGTTATGATATCGAAACCAATGTCCAATCGTACCACTGGAAGATCCCAGGAGAGCCTAGACCAAAAAAAGCACGCCAAATTCGATCAAATGTCAATGATTTGATTATCAACTGATCATATCAGGAAATAAATTAAAATTCAATTCTGCACGATAAGACCAGCCACTGACTAGGTACTTCGAAAATTGGAAATATAATAATATTTATTTTTGCGCCTCCATTTGCAATTGGTCCAACATAATTCACTCAATCCATTTTGAGTAACTATCTGCTTTCTTGAATATTACTGGAGTTTTTTTCTCAACACCCAACCGTTATTTTAACACCTCGACTCGTGTTTCGATCACTAAGTGATCATCTTCAAGAGGAAGATCAAACAGTTTGATCTTCCTCTTTAAGATAAACAAACAGTTTGATCTTTCTCTTGAAGATAATCACTTGGTGATCGAAACACGTGTCGAGTTGTCGAAATAATGATTTGGTGTTGGAAAAAAATTCCAGTAATATTCATTACTACACCAAAGGTTCCAAACAGTATATCACATGACTTCAGAAGACGAACTTTTTGATGAACTATATCTAGAACTGCTTGAAAACACATCTGAAGGCATGGTAACGAACGTTATTGAGGATCACCAAAATTATCTGAAGGAATTGTTGATATTCATTTAGGTAGCGCTATGATCTCCCTTTTCAATGGTATTTCGTTGAACACTTCCCTAGTAACCGGATTGGTAGGCGGAGATCAAATGACCTCAACTATCTCCAGACCTATTTCCTCTGAATTTATTTCTTAAGAAACAAATGAAAATTAGAATCATTGACGCTAACTCTACTAATATATCAGATTCGCGCCAAAAAATGTCGCCTCATCCCCTTAGAAATGTTCAGGAATGTACGAGAAAGTTTTCAGCAGAATTTGTTCAATTGCAAGAAAGTTGGGGGTGCACATTTCAAGTATTTGTTGTGAGTTACTTCAAATTCACACTCATTATGGTTGATCACTTGAGTGGTCACCACCAGTAGGGAAATAACCCTGTAATAATAGCTGACTAGTTGCTATCTTTGACTTCTTGCGAACTCAAATTTTTCATATCAATTTCGCTGTAGTACGATTAGATATTTTTCCGTAATGGTTCCGAATGGCAGCTGTATGTACACGATAAACCATGAAGCGACAAGCAGTCATTGTGGCGTGAAAAGTTCCATGCAAACTAGCGAGGCATTTAGTGTTTCGACGCATGCAAATGCCCTGCAATGATCATATCCATTGAACAGCCATGTTCATACGTTCTACTCCATCAAACATTCCGGAACAACGAACTTCTATCAACTGAGGTGATAAAGATATGAAACGCATGAAGAAATATTTTAGGCTTCTCTTGCGAATCCATTATCATAAATACACCAACGTGTTACTTGATGAAAATCGATAACACTATTCGTCATTATAATTATAGAAGTTTCACG